ACCCTTATATATATAACTAAGTAGTATAATAACCGTAATAGGCCTACTAAACTAGTRTTTAAGGAATACGAAGGCTCGAGGCTCGCTCGTATCTTCCCGTAAGGAACGAAGAAGACGTATAGGGTGTTCTTAGTCTTTAAGCGGCCTAGCTAATACGATRTAGATAATTCCCTATTATATATAGCCGTAGCGGAAGAGAAGCTCGTTAAGGCTRYAGCTAGGCTCTATAAAAAAGCTATCGCTAGTAATAATAAGAAGAAAAAGAAGAAAGCCYRATCGGAGAAGCCGAAGGTAGAGAAACCTRTACGTATTACCTATATAATATRCATCTAGTTRCTATRCTAATTCCTAATAGGCCTCCGACGAYAACCTAGATAAYATCGATATTACCGTAACTACGGACGATAGCGACGAAAGCGACGCCTATCTTTTAGCGAACGTTATAGTTTATATACCCTTTCCTCCGTATAATAGTACACCTACTAACGTACGTATAGGTTAAGCCCGAACTAGTAGTTAAGGAAGAACTAGTAGTTAAGGYAGAACCTACCGACGACCGCTAGAAGAAGGAGTTATTCCTTTAGAGACTAGAGTAATCTCGYATAGAGGTAAGTAGCTATAGTACTACCCTTTCTGCCGTAYAATAGATAATAACAATATATAGCGTTTCTCGGTCCTAGCTAAGTAGGGCGGAGGTTCTTCGCGGACCCCCCCCCCTCCTTAAGGGGTTAGTTATAAGCGTAGCTGTTCTTAGATTTCCCTTACTTCCGAGCCTAGTAGTGCGCTACTAGCGGATCGTACGCGTAATCGATTAAAGCGCCGTTAAGAGTAGGGTATACGTTAACTATAGATAGCGTTACTATCTAGAATTATTAGCTAGAGTTTATATAATACTTTTATCCGGTCCTTTAACGGACTTCCCTCTTAGTTAGTATGCAACATAGCTTTCGAATTATACTAGCGTTTACGATTTACGATATACTTATATCGCACCTTTGCCTTTTATCGTATAGATTAAGCTATAGCTCTTAGAGGAACATACTACTATATAATATATACTAGTTTACGACATCTCTACACCTTAGCTTACGCCTTCTTCTCTCTACGCTTTATATAGGTAAATAGAAAAGAGATAAGCAATAGGTATAAGGCAACGCCTTTAGATAAAATTATAAGAGTATCGATATACTAACGGTAACTAGAACAAATCTTTACGATACTATTATATAGCCTAGCACTCTTACTATATCGAAACCTTATGTATAATACGATATAATAGCGTAGGAAACGCTATAATACTCTAACTCCGGCGCCGAGGTAAAGCTAAGAGTAGTAGTGCATTCTAAAAAGCTATTTATGGGTTGTTGCAGGGAAGTCGCTAAAAGACCACCGTACGTGGAGCCGAGTTAAAGAACTAGGTGGTTTAGAACTAGTGGCAGACGAGTATCTTGACGCATCGAAAGCGGCGCTCGATGATTGAACAGCTAATATACCGCTTGTCCTTTCCTATAGTTTTGGCTGCATTCCTGGTCTTTGTAAAGGTGTTTCAAATGGAATCAATGCCACCAGCAGAGACAAGCATACTCGCATGGCATCGCATGCTACTTTGATGCGTCAACACGTTGTGATTCTGTTCCTCTCATCCCAAGACGAGGCAAACGATACACATTACCTCGTTTCCCAAGTCCCCTGCTTTTGCTGATTCCGCGCCAAAGTCAACCACACGCCGTAGAAAACCAAACCGATCACAAATTTGAGCTGGTTCAGAGCAGTGACCACTCCGAGTCGGATGACTCTGGAGAATTGTATGGAGGGCTGCTGTGCTCTGGTGAATCAGCGGAGCCGAAGATACGTCCTCGGATTAGTAGTGCCGTGGGCGACAATGTAGAACCGTCGCTGCCCGAATCGAGGGAACGGACGGAAGCTGGACTAGAGACATTCTCATAGTCACAATCCGAAGCAGAAGCCTCATCGGCTGCCATGTCGAGCATTTCCATAGGTCCAATATTGCTGTCGCCATTGGAGCACTCGGTTTCGATAAGCTGTTGGCTCTGTCGGCGAGCTCTGTGGAGAAGTGCGCTGCTCGAAGACTCGGCCACATCACCTGCCTCTGATTCCGCCGGCAGTATCCTATCATCGATATCGAACTTCTTTAACTCTTCCTGGAGAGACTTGAGCGCCGACAGCGCTCGCTTTGGGAAAGCGGACTGCTCTTTCGCGGGCCACTCCCCATGTACGGTGTCATGCTGCTCAGACTTGACATTCTGGGTTGAGCTCCGAACATTCTTTAAACTGTCATTATCATCATCGCTCCCATGGAAATGATGGACCACATCCCGGAGTCGTAAATGGTCGATATCCTCCCTAGAATGGTAGAAATCGGGCACGTCTCTTTTGAACGGCATCCGGATGATAGCAGAGGCAGCTTTGAGACGGTCAGCATACGATCTGGTTAATTCGCCGAGACAAAGAATTTTGAGCGGCTACCACTTGCAATCTGCCAAGCACTGCATTCCGCATATCTACACGGATAGGAAATACTTACTCTCGTTTTCAAACTGTCTGTTCATTGACTCTTGGCACAGCGCTTGATGGAACGGTTTTAGCTCGAATGCAATTCGTTTGAATTCCTCGTCCTCGGCAAGTCGATGTCGCAGGAAACAGGCTACACAGTAGTTGACAATGGTGTCCAAGACTCTGGTACAGTCACTCATGTGACTAAAGGCATATTCGATCGCTGCGCAGAGGTGTATAGGTGAATCGGGAGAGGAGCATCCAAACTCGCACTGTCGGATGATGTTCACATTTGCTTGCTCCACGAGTCCCGGAATGTCGTAGATGGCTCCAAGGTGATAGAGCTGGCAGTGAAGCAACAAGGAAGTTGGCACTTCTCCGTAAACGCCATCAGATTGACAGATCAGGGCGTAAGATCCCGTGTACAAGAACCGTAGGAAGGGTATGACAGTCGATCCCTTGAGAATCTCCAGATGCAACTGAGGCCCAGTGCTACGAAGCTCGAATGCGGCTGCAAGGAGTGGACACCTTCGCTCAATGACTTCTACCGTGATTCCAGCGATGTGTTGTGCTTCGCCATTGTCGTCGATGTAGGAGATGGTAGCATTACCCAATGGACAAATATCCATAAACGACATCTCCGAAATTGGCCTCCGAGAGGCGATGGGTATTGGGGCAGAAGGCGCACTGGAGTTTGAGCGTGTAGGCGTTACCTCCTCCCACTGATACGCATGGACACCTGCGGCGCCCTTTTGGGGTCTGGATTGTCTTCGCCGGAAGCGAATTCTTGGTGACGCCTCGGACAGCGGTCGAGAATTTGCAAAAGACCAGTGGTGACCCAAACTGCTCGTGGCAGGCTGAGTACTTGGACTGCCAGCCAAGTGACTCTGCCAGTGTGGTGATGAGAACGTGTCATCTAAGGCGCTCCGTGGTGTAGTATTCACTAAGCCCACGAGGGAACATCGCTCAGCCTGTGGGGTGGTAATCTGCGGCACCATGACCGGATCGCTGGCTTCTATGTCATCCATTTCCCAAAGCGCGACATTGGAGCACAAGGACGGCGTACTCTTCTGAGAAGCAAAAGGTAGACGTAAGTCGTCCATCGCGAACTCGTGGTATGCGCGCCTTGATCAGGATCTAGGTATTAGCTCTGCGCATCCAGGACTAGACGGAGCACATTTGTCGATGATGGGTCGTAATGGCAGCAAAGCGACGATAAAAGAACAGGAAATTGAAGCGCTCAGGCTCCAGTATACGTGTATTCATGGTGCGAGGCTGCCTGCCTGCTCTCACCTACAGTCACGAGGGAACGATACAAGTGACATCCCCCTCCTCAAGCTGGTGAGCAAAGCTGAATTCAGCTGAGGCTGCCGCCAATGCCACAGCTGATTGGACGTTCTCTGAAACCTGCGCCAGGGCTGTGCCGCGAATCAAGAAAGTCTCCGTTGCGTTGGGTTGGAGCCTGAGAGATGACTGGATGAAATCTCCAGTGAGAAAAGGCATCACGGGATGCAATACTTCCCGCCGTCGGTCGCTTCGTGATCTCCTTCGCTCGATAGAGGAGTCACAAATGCAGAAGTTGCCACGACATTTCTCCCACATCGCGTAGACGATGAACGTTGATGACAGATGATTGATGATACCTTGGGAGGAAAGGAAGAACGTGTTCACAAGCGCCACGCCAAGAGTATATCTCTATCACGTGACAAGAGATCGCGAAGATTGAGTTCCTTGATTTTGACTGCCACATACACTTCACACTTCACCTCTCCACGCATCGGGGCACTGTGACTCAGAAAACGAGCAGATATCATTGCCCACGATGGTCTTCTTTGTATCGGCTGATCATGTCGACTACATCACAAGTACAAGCACGGACATGCCACTGATCGGGACGGAATTGTTTTCTGGCAGCTCAGATTGGCTGAGCTTGTCAGCTGCATTGAAAACATGATCCCGAGTTTTGCGCTGGCTTGGATGAATGCACCTCCTTCGACCAAGCCATTGGGTTTGTATTCAATGCGGCACGGGGTGTCCATCGCCCGGCACCCAGCTCGAAGAACATCCTGTGCACTCCACATGGCTGTCGCGGCAGTGCATAGTCGAACACACAGAAGCTATGATTAGACCGCAATCCAAAGGCTGTTCCGTGAAAGAGCAAAATAGTTCGGTACATACCTTCCCCCTGCATCACTGACMTTCTGAGGGCTGGATGTCATCCTTACTCGGTGCCAGTGGGTGAGTCTAGCGCTTTTGTCTGGGAAGAGGACTACCGTATTTCAGGTGGTGGATGCTGCGACGATGCACCTGTCTATTCGTTCGCCATGTGCTCTTGACCCTTGAAACGAGCTCATCGCCGTCAAAAGACGAGCGTGACTTCCATCAGACTCCTTTTGATTGGAGCTTGAATCTTGTGCTAAGATTCGTGGCATTAACAATTGTTGAAGCCGTGATGACAGTACTTCAAGCGGTCGTGCTATGGTTGTCGCTGGTGATATCTTGTTTCTCCCTATACCAGTCTTCAGCACCTATTACGGCCAATTCCAAGACAGAAAACAGTGTTCTGGCCGATCGTCCAGCAAGGCGGCTCCAGCACATGATAGCCGGCCCTTGAAGCAAGCCAGATCTGAAGGCCTCATGTGGCAAGTTCTGTCGGATTGTGTTTGGTTTGTGTCGCGCGTGGAGCAAGATCCCAGATTCTTGATAAATTGGAATTTTAAGAAAGCCGAATGTAGACTTCTTTACCATACACCAGGCATATGGAGGCTGGGAAAGATCCGTAAAGGCGTTCTCAGTGGGCATCGGATGATGTTTCGACGCGCTCCCCTCACCTCACATCGATGACCTTTTCCTAGCCGTGCACACGAATTGCGGACGGCATTTGGCGGCGATCTCTGCGAGCCCGAACGTGATGCCAATAGGTGCCGCCATGACTCACTCTGATGCGGTTCGTGAGGGTGTACAATGCTAAAGACAGAAGCCAAGCGAGCGAATAACGTGTACAAGGTAGAAGTGGTGACACTCGGTAGTCGTTAGCGCCTCAATCTAGCCATTAAAGTAATCAAATACGCTTGAATTCAAAAATTCTTATTAGTCCGGCAGCAGCCGCTCTATTATCTAAAGATAATATAATCGTCTCGAGTCCTCTAAGAGCCTTATTTATTCTACTAATATTACTACTACTACTACTACTACTACCGCCCCTATACGATGCCTAACGTAGTATAGACTACCTTATTAAGAGCTAAGAAGGAGATTATAATTATACGTGCTATAGAGTAGTAGTTTAGTAGTAGATAGAGGATAAAATAAGCCTATAGTAGTAACTTTAATATCCTCTACTTAACCTTCGTAGGCCGTATACGTAAAGTAGCTCTAACTCGTAACCGAGTACTAGCGCATAAGCACGAAACGAAGCTATTAGGGCTATTAAGACAGGCCCTTACTATCTATATTAAGAGGTTAATAAAGATAGGCTTTCTACTACTATACGATATAGTAAGGCTATAGGTAGTATAGCTACTAGAGTAATAGGGTAAAAAGGATTCTTATATTAGTATAAACTAGCTAGCTAAATTTATTAAGAACTACCCTACGCTTTACTACTAGTAGGTAAAGGTAATAGACCGTAATCGAATAAAAGTATAGGATAATCCTTAGGTATTAGAGTAGTAGTTCGAGCTACTTAAGAGCGTAATTACCGAATACGCTATTAAAGATAAGGATATTGCTAATATAGATAAAACTAGCTATATACTTAGTATTATAGACCGTATCTATAAGGCTATATATAGCCGTAACAATCCTCTAGCTCTCTTTTTATAGCCTAGTAATAGGGAGTAGGTAACTATAATTAAGGCTATTACCGCTAGAGGCCTATAGATACTACCGTTCCTTATTTTTAAGGCTAAGCAAGTTATATATAGTTTAATTAATAAGTTTACTACTCGCTTTAGTAATACGAAGGCCTACCTTACTATTACGGATAACGGCTAGTCTAGTAAATGTTAAATATTAGTCGGAGGTTCGCAGATTTTTAGGGGTGGAGTAAAAGAGTATCTTTGTTAGAAAGTGCAGTTATAGAATAGCTGTACATCTAATATAACAGAGAGCTAAGTAGCTATAAGGTTATATAACTCTATATAGGGTAAAATCTC